ATAAACGCTTAAATGTAGCTTTGTATTGTTACATAATATGAATTTTCTACAAACTTTTCACATGCCTATTATTATAACCAACGCGACGCGCTAAAAAGAGTATATATTATTAGTTTGCTATAGTCAGTGTGCTAAAAACTTCGGAAACTATAACTGTGACTGTTATAACGCTTAACAATCGGAAAACTTCAGATATTTGACCAGGAGCATTTACAAAGTTCGAACGTTACAAATCATTCAACTTCAGTGGATTCACGTTGGACATTAGTACTTTCATGAAAACATTACCTAATGTCACCGGTAGGAAAACTCGGCGTGTGTGGCTGGTGAATAACGAAGGACAAAGCTAGCTAGCTCCATGTTAAGTGAATTATACCTACGTCAACTCGTAATTAACTCGTTCATCGTGAATCATCGAAGAAGTTCCAGACTAGAAAGAAGCCTTTATATTGCTTGCAAGTTTGTGAAATTTTTGTTTATAAATCATTGTTTGTAATAACTATTTGTAATAACTGTTATTTTAAGTTGTGTTGTTGTGTGTATATTAAAAAGTAGTTGTGTTAAAAAAGAAAACTGTGTGTATCAATCTTGTTGGCAAATATCATAAACTGACTACATATCGGCTTTTACTTAACTACTAAATCCAAAGTACAATTTAACTACTAAATTTAAAGTATCATTTAGCTCGGTTTCAGACCATTTGAAATTCTAATACGTAACATGTTAAAATCTAAAATATAAACTTGATGTTTTCTAGTTTAAAGACCTAGCTTGATTTGCACGATATTTAGTAAGCAAGTCATTTTTGGATCAAGTGCTGGTAAAAAACAAAGGTTAAGTAGTTACGAAGAAATCTAGTCTGCAAGGAAAATGGCTCAAACTAACGAAAAATCATATTTTGTCAAGAAATAGCAGACACGAAACTGGGTCGTAATTAAAAACTAGTTTCTTTTTGAATCGTAACACTTGACTAATTAAGAAGAGAAATGATACTTCGTCAAACTGAAGAATAAGTTTAAAGGTGGTGAAGAATGTCTATAATAAACTTAAATAAGAATCATATACCTTTCACTTGTTCAAATCTTTTACAGGCCTACAAAATGCTTAATGTTGACTATGATTGATATATTTTTAATGATTCGATTAAAAACAAGTCAAAATTTGATTGATCAGAGAAAGCTAATCCGAAACTAGTAGATAAGTCACAAACGAAGAACCCGCCCTCTAGGCATCGTTCGTGACGAATATAATTGATTTTTTTTATAGGATCTATCATTATGAAAGATAAAATGTCTCAGAAAAAGTTAATTCCATCTCAATATCCATTTCATTGAAACGTTGTAATGCTAAAAATACGTTGTCTGATACACTGGCCCACCTTTCAACGACAGTTGACAAATATCCCATTTTTTTAAGTCGACAAATCCATTACTCTGATTACTTTATGGACAGGATGCCAAGGTTTAACGCTTATATATAAGAAGAATACTGGTTTCCTAAACTACTTTGTAATTTCCGTTATTGTTTTACGAACATTCTTGATATAAAAGTTTAGTTATTTGCCTCATCTGTTATTATTCTAAAAGGTTATGTTTAATTAAATATCACTGTCATCTATTTTATGGAATCTTACAAAAACAACCTTTCAGTTGAAAAGAACAGTTTTTTTAGTAAAACTGGCCAGTATTTTTTTAGTCCCACCTACATGTCGCTATTATTTTTTAAATTGTCAATCATTCTAAATTTTTTACGGAATTCTGACATACAGGACATTTTCATACTTTTTGTGATAACAATTAAACATATGTTATTTCCAGTCATTTAGATATAATTAAAATAAATTTCTATATAATTTTCTATTTGTAACAAATACGTTTTTTTGAGAAATAATTAATAAAATATGAATAATGCGCCATGGGTTTTGAGACACAAAATGATGCATTTTAACTTCAAACGTAACAATAAAAAAATACTGTACAACAAACTACAGAGTGTATTTTACATTTAGCAATAACATAAAAAGTGAAGTATATTTAGTAAAATGTATAGATTGGCTTAGACATTCACGCAAGTAACAAAGTATTTTACATCAAGTTAAAACAAATAGAATGACAAATAATACATTGAACATTAAGCTGGAACAGCAGAGAAATAAAAGTACAGTGTAGATACCGTATCATAGAAAGGGTAGAAAAAGCAACGTTTAATTAGTAAGGTACATAAAGAATATACAAAACAGAGTTTACCGAGTAAGGCTATCATAGCAGGGAGAGAACAGCGAATCATTCATTAAATTAGCATAAAAAAGGTAAAAAAGAAGATTATGAAAAGTTAAAGTATCATAAGAATAAAACACAAGGGAAAGTGGGTTAAACAGAAGAGAACGAACTAAACAGGCTACATGAAGTTCAAATTAACATTAGAAAGAAAAAAAAGCTATATTTAATACCTGTATCAGACGGAGAAGAATATAGTTAATAACCAGTTAAGGTAGCACATAAACAGAAAAACCAGGAACATTGAATACCTGTATCAGACGGAGAAGAATATAGTTAATAACCAGTTAAGGTAGCACATAAACAGAAAAACCAGGAACATTGAATACCTGTATCAGACGGAGAAGAATATAGTTAGTAATCAGTTAAGGTAGCACATAAATAGGAAATCAAGGAACACTGAATACCTGTATCAGACGGAGAAGAATATAGTTAGTAATCAGTTAAGGTAGCACATAAATAGGAAATCAAGGAACACTGAATACCTGTATCA